CATCTCAGCTGGCAAGAATCTGAATTCTTAGAATCTGATTTGCTAACAGCGCGCTCGAACTGGTTAAGCTTTTTACAATACGGACTACGATCCGAGTTTTTTCCCCGCCATTCACGGCAAAGCAGAAAAAAGCAAACCATCAGAAAAAAAGTTATTTACTGGTCTAGGTCGGTCTATTTACGAAAACATTGTGCCCTTAGTCTTAAAAATACGGCCCGTTGAAAACTTCCCGCCTTTTAAATAGCGTACATTTATTAGGCTCGATGCCTCGTGTGCACCAACGTCATATTTCAAAAGTCTTCCTGTTTCATGAGATAGTTTCATTAAGGAAATTCCTAGTCCTATTCGATACAGCCGCACAATAGACATCGCTGACTCGTTCTCTACCGTCCCTGAGGTAGAGATAGACGGGAACGCTCCCGTTGTCCCGAAAGTTACTTGTCATTATGACTTGTGCCAAACTCTCTCGCTCTTTTAGTTAAAGACCAATGAAGGGTTACAGGGACAAGACAAGTTTGAGAACCATGATGCAAAAAATGTGCGATCTGTGTTTGATATTGGACCCGATCGATACGATGTTCACCTTTGTTCACAAAAATAACGATAAATACTCTGTAAATGCAGATCAGTGATGCATCATGTAAAAGAAATTATTTAGCTCCCCTAAAAGTTCATTTCTTTATCAGTACGTTTTGTGAGGGGTGATGAGCCAGAGAGTGTTATCCTGATTAAACACCAAATTCTCTTGACTCATTTGCGAGAAAATGCATAACATCTGACGGGTAAAATCAACAGATCACAAATAAATAACTAACTACCAATCATGACTGAAGTCATAAGATTCGTCCAACTAATTTGTTTAGAAGTAAAGAAAACAACACCCAAACTTTTCAAATAAAACTCTTTTATCCTGTAAGCAATACTTTATTATTAGCTCTTCAGCGCGTGCGTTGTTCGTCCGCAAGGAATGTTGAGTCTTTAAACGACGCTAGCCGGTGAAAAGTCGACTGTAAGTGCTTCAGCACCCAGACCCCCAGAGGCCCCTCCCCAACTTTTCTTAAATCTTCCTCTGAACAATAAAACGCTCGTCCCGAGGCGCTAATATGATGAGGGCCTAAGTGTAAGCCAAAACTGTTCAAATCTTTCCTTCCACATCGATGAATGAAAAAGGGCGCGAAACTAGCGGACCAGGTGGATGCTTTTGCCTTGACCTAAAATGTAATCTACCAATGAAATAAAATCTTATTTTATTCTCATGACATGTGCAGGTTGAGCGTCAGCCATGGGGGAAGTAGGAAGTCTGTACCGTTCGTGTTAATTCTAAAAAAGCAGGCTCAACCTTAAGTTCAGATGAGCTTTAAAAATGAAATTTTAGCGATATCTAAGTTGTCAAGAGCAAGGAAAATGTTAATTGTTGCTGAATTTCTTCACTTTTCATCATTTGCACGCTTTAATTCGAAAATAACATAAAACTTAAGAAAATATAAATAACAGCTGCGGTATTATAATATTGTCAAACTTTTGCGTACAATCAACAATTTTGGCTAGAGTAGCAATATATTGTGATCTGTGGCGAGCAGATAAATAATTTGCCGAAGCAAACGACTATCTGATCAGCAAGACACAAATCACTATATTTTGCAATATAATGGTTTTATTACACGACCACTGAGTCCGTTTTCACAGCTATTTTCGGGAATTTCTTACTGATAGCCAAAAAAGCGAACGAGTATGGGCACAACCACGCATGAGCAGAACATCATATACAGCGAAGCACGGTCGGACGGTATTTGTGCATAAGCGGACAATTATTTTAAGCGATTATCTCACAGGTTACGATGTGGGCTTTAGGTTAATCAAAGGAAGTACAAAATCTGCTGCTTGATAGTATATCGCGTTATGGATCAGTGTCGCCACTTCGATAGTGATTGGAAATAAACACGCACCCAATTCTTGCTGGCACTTTCATCGATGCCATAGATACAGACGACAGCTTTGAATCGAATAATTGTTTGATTGGATGTTCATATGATGCCGAGATTTATTAAGCCTTGGCTCGCGTAAAGATAAAATGCAAAAATATCTGGCTTGATAACAAACGTTGTCATTGATGAATTAGAAGCACAAGTTTAATAACATGAACGTACAATAGCTGGTTTTAACGTTTCCTTACGCTTTGAGTTGTCTTTGAGCTTGGATGTGTGATAACAGGACAGAAAAGAGGCATGTTCTTGACAAATGTGTTATCATTATATTCTCAGCTGGAAATAAATGATACTTTCATTATTTTTGGTACTTTCAATTTCCAATTTTTTTCAATCTCGCATATTTCGAAAAGGGAAAAAAGAGTCTTCTGTGCGAGACAAGAAGAGTCTAACTCAATGAACAATTGCACTCTTAGGTGTAGTGCAAAATGCTCAAATTCTACAAATTGACAGGAGAGCGGGTACGATTGCATGGATTCAATTCGGCATAACTGAGTTTAAAAATGAACATTGCCTTTCTAATAATAGAAAACAGAAAAATCTGACCGCAATATTTGAGTGTTATTACGATTGCTCAGATAATAAAGATGTGCGTGCTCTGATAGGTCGACAACAAACAGAGATACTACGCCCTGATAGATTAAAAAATACAGACCCGTTGTTCAGGTCTTCTGGGTAACGTCTTGTTCAGGAATTCTCGTGGACCACCTTCTAAACACCAACTAAGTGAAATGTGGCAAATTTAAAGCACATCATAAGACGGCACAACAACGATTTTTCCTGTACATCTATTTCCTAATCTCTACTTTTCTTATTTTATAAATGAAATGAATGTGTACATTGTTTGAATCAATGAACTCAGTGGTCAAACGTCGGGCATACGCAAGTGGATCCGTTCTGGCCTGCCGCGCGCCATTTTCCCGTGCAAAATTTCAAAGCAAAACGTAATAAACAACAGCTGTCTGGCAAAATAAGCGAAAGAACGCTGACACATTCATAAAGAAGTAAGCAAAAGGAAAACTCGAGACTTTTCGAACATGAATCTTATTCAGGGACTGGTATCAAATTAATTCATCATTCTATATTCAGCCTAACCGAAAAAGTTATACGCTTTTGAAACACTGTGACTCACTAGCTTTTGCAGTTGTTTGTAATTCCTGTTAGACAACTTGGTTGTGACAGCCTAGAAGCGCGCTACCTGAACGTTAAAACGTTCGCACATGCATAAACGTTTGACTACTGTGTTGAATCAGTATTCAAGATAAAATATTTATACAAAATGGCTACATCTATGAATATAAGCCTGGTAAGCAATCTTCTAATTTCCGACACTTAGCATCAATGTGGCCAGCGTGTGCAGATTATAAATACTACTGCCAGATCATGTCCCTCTTTAAAACCTGGGAACATTGATAATTAAACTCAGTGTCCCCGACGTGCTTGCAGATTATATAGAAAGATACTAATAACTTAATGCCATTATAAATATGCTGAAACGATATTTCCCTGGGACATTTTTGACTGACATTCGTAATTAAATAAATAATATAAAACAAGTCAAAAGGCATCAAAATAAAGAAACATCTGGTTTGCAGTTTTGAGAAACCTTAAAGATCATTTTCAAGATGCCTAAGGCCTTAGTTTCTAAACGAGAATAAAATCAATAATCGCCAATGATAGCAAATGTTTTTGACAAACTTTGTCTTTATTTGAAATTGTAGCGCGTTGAGATAAAACTGGCAGGCTATGATATCAAGTTATGAATTGCTCATCTTTTTGCATTTGCTGCAGTCGTACAACCGCTTTTACTGACTTTTGTAAGATTATTATGCAGTTTATCTGGACGAATTCGATATGGTCGACCCAATTTCCTAGTCTCGAGTTTTAGCACAGTCATCGAGAGCTATCAATTCGGTACGCAAGTTTCTTCGTCACTTTTTATAATATAGTCCATCGTTTGTCTCTTCATCGATTACAAAGCCACAAACGAAAACTTTTCCCTCAATTTGCCATCTAAAATTACAAAAACCGATGCCTCCTACCTTGACTGTCAGAAATAAAAAAGTCCCAGCCTTTCATTAAAATCTTAAAACCGTAAGTGTCATTATTCCTCACTGAGATACGAAATTCAATGATGATCCTCTGTCATTCAACAATAGAATCTACTAAATTGATGGACAGGGCAGTCGTTCGGCAGCAAGCCGATAGAAGGCCGGTTGTCGTTAAAACCGAATTATTTGTGATAAATATTTAGGATTTATCAATTCGTTTTACAACTTGTATTTACAGTTCCCATAACTATCTACATTTCCAAAAGGATAGAAACTCGTTGTAAGCCAATGGTCAACGGAAAATGCAAAATGCCTTCTTCGTTTATCTTAAGACTGGCTTTCTTCTTTCTTCCTCGATGAACACATAAAATCGAGCACGAAAAGTGACTGCACAAGTTTAAATATGAGATTTTGAATGACTCGCGTGCATTTTACGCATTGATTGTTGAATAACTCTTCATTTGCATCTGAATATTTCCACACGCTCTTTGCAGTTCTCGCATTCAACATGACAACACCAATGAAACTTGCAATTGCAACGCCACTTTTTGACAATCTCATGAGTATTGTAGCCTCGGCCGCAACACATCAGCTCGCAGCCATCGATTCCATCTGATGTCTTATTGCATTCTCGTTCTGTTGTTCCGGGAATTTTCCTCCTTCGATCTCGATCGCAGTAATTCGGGGAGTCTTCGATGTAAACCAAGTCTCTAGAAGGAGGCTTGTTGTCGCCGAACTCCAACCAAAGATACGCATCTCGTCTACCGTTTGGAGATGGATATTTAATAGTTTTAACACGAGAGGCTTTAAGGTAGCGTTGCTTTAATTGAGAGCCTATCTTTTTAAAACCAGGAAGATCTTGCCAGCAGGTTCTTGACACGCATGATCCAGAGGTACCATGGCAATGGCAGTGTAATTTGAGACTGTCTTTAAGAGCCTAGTGAAAAAAGTTCCCGGTAAAGCAAAGATTTACAAGAAAAGCATACTGGCCAAAGTGCTTTATGTTTCTTTCTCGTAATTTATATTCGTTTAGGAAAGAAAACGGGTTGAGGTTTACGCCAAGATATGAAACCCGCGGACTTCCAGGGGACTCTTTCACAGAAAAGTCCATTTTAAACCCTCTGTGAAACAAATACTTCAAAAATGGAGTTACTATAAGTTAAAAAAATTGGTTTATTATCAACTGGTAGTTGATAAAGGATTTACACACCACCCCAACTTATCTTGAGCGTCAGCCTTTCCTAAAATAAATCGGATAAAGGAGCCATCTCACTCGAGTTGCTTTACAAGACAAATCATAACAGTTTACTCAAGATAGAGACACTAACTTTCATATATTTACTCGCAAACGATAGTAACTTGTAATGAGTTAAAAATATGGAGGGAATAACTTATCTTGAAGTAACTTCACTTGCTCAAAGATGGAGATTTAAAGGAAGCTTTCATTGGTGAAACAGGTTGCCATTGAAATGATGGAAATATCTTGTAGTATAGCAATCCGTATGGAAAAATTGGGTAACAAGAAGCAAAATGTATGAAAACCGAGAACAAATATTTGCAATCTTGACGTTTGAACTTTGAACCGTGAGCGCCATTTTGGATCGTAGACGTCCTACGGTTGCCACTTTTATCTGGCATCACGTAGATAAAAAGTGGAAACTGTGAAGCGTCACACCATCCAACATGGCGCAGAGCACGGCACAACTAAGTTTGAAATAACCTTTAATATTTGCCCCGTTGTTTTCTCACTATACACTTCATTGAAATTTTTGATAACTAGATTTAATCTTTAACGCTCTTCTTGATAATTCAACGGTGATTTGTCCTACCAATAGAGATGTTAGGAAACACTTTCCAAAGACGCGGATGGCCACCGCTTTAACAGTGCGACTACTTCTGACACGCTTCTACATCAACCGATTAACAACAAAAAACACTGTCTTGTATTTTCAGCTAAAAATACAGACAAAAGATTTGTGCCAATCATTAGACAGACTAAGAGCAGCTCTTTCTTTTCGACGAAGTCCGTCGCGTGATCCAAAAAATGATAAGAAGGAAAAAATGTTAGGCGCCGCTCGGAACTCTAAGTGTGAGGCGCCTAGTTCAGCGCGACGCGCTGACGTCATATCTTTACCGAAAATCACTTTTTGATCCGCACAAGAGACTTCGCCGAAGAGAGATTACTCGTAGTCTAAGCGCCAGGGTAACTAAAACTAAAATTTTAGCGGCCACCTGCGTCTAGTTATTTTGCAGAACTTGAAAAAAGTTCAGTGACTTAGTTCATCTTTTCATTCTTAACGGAATCTTATTGTCGACAGTTTTTTTTCTATTACCGACTATACGATGCAAAAAGAAAACACTTTCACAAACGAATACTTCGTTTAATTGGTTTATTAGAGCGCAATTCTTATGAGTGTCGTAAACTGATAAAAACCAAAGTAATCGCAACTTCCAAACAGAACAAAGAAACATCCTCATAGGAGCCACTTGAGAGCTGAACCTCCTCGAAGGACCAATTCGAGATTTTATTTCATTTCTCGTCTTATTTATCGACTGGATTTTAGGAGCTTTAGAATTCCTATCACAGATGAAAATAGAGCAACCCAATGCAATCCCCCATTGTTTCGACACTCATTGAAAATTGCTCTAAAAATAGACTGATTTCGCCTTATACCACACCTCCTACTGGCTTTGACTTTGTACTGGCTTGATGAAAATTTTCATTATGTAAATACCGGATAACTTAAATGGGTAATTTCAAAGAAGAAACGAAAAAGCTGGAGAAAGTTTTATGATTGGAAAAATAATAAAGCCTTCCCTCACCAAAAAATGTTAGCGATAACATAAATTGTCATTATAAAAAATTCCTCCGCGCTCGGAACAATTCTACAGCTACGATCTAAGCGCGACGGTCGACGGTTGATAGTTGATGTTTCAAGTTTACTTTAAATTAAATAAAGAAATGCAACGAAACGAAGTAAATTATGCTACGTCAGCTACACAGAGGTTATTTTTATGAATCTTGTAACTCACAGGCCGAGAAACGATATCTTCATTCCAATTGGGTAGTTTGCGCGCGTTAGCTTTAATTATTCCCTAGACCTAAATAAAAACAAAAATGCGATAAGTTATCGTAAAATGACAAAACTGTGTTTGGAGCAGAATTGAAAAGCAGAAAATAACACGAAAAACAATCGTGTATCTTGAATCTTAAAACTGCCTTTGATATGCAGGCTACCATTGATATGCAGGCCCCATTGATATGCAGGCTACCACAGACAAATAGCATTCCTCATTTCTCGAGCGTAAGAGGTGTGGTATAAGAACCTACGGATATTCCATTAACTTTAAATTCTAGATTTTTAATCAAGGCTATTAGTCTTTTATACTCTATACATCTCAACACATCTACAATAATATGACTTAACTTTTTGACGGTTCTACCTTTTAATAATTAGATAAGTTTACATATATCTCAAAGTCAGTTCGATCTTATCATATGTGATCCTAAGTGGATCACTTTCCGTCAGAAAACACGACATTTCATAAATGACATGTGAACATCTTTACAGATAAAAAGCACTTTAAGTGCCTGCAGTCCTTAAATGGTTACTGTTATTGGTGCCCTAGTTGCACCTGTATTTTACGACGTTTTCGACACGTCCGATTGTATGACTGTTCTTCTGTACATGGTATGAACTGTCCTTTTAATCGTTTCATTTTAACATGGCGATTTTCGCTGTTAGCACTTAGGCCCTCAAATTCCGATTTAAATGTCAATGTAAGCTGTGCCACGCGCATGATCGCCATCTACTTGCACGTGTGCCTTATTACGTTGTTGACGCACTCATGACATTTGACCTCGCAGCACCAATGAAATTTACAGCTACACTGAACCACTTCAGTAAGATTGTGCGTGTCGTGGCCGCGCCCACAGCACATGACATCACAGTGGTCTTCCTCAGTAGAGCCGGTCGTGTTGCAGATGCGATCTCGGGTTCCCGGGATTCGAAGTTTCGGATCCCGATTACAGAATGCCTTAGAGTCATTTAGATACACCAGGCTACGCGTGTGTGGCTTCTTTGAATTATTCGATTGTAAGACAAGGTGTTCAGGCTTCGCCCCTCCGGAGGTCGCGCCCGTCAAGGCATCAACTCTCAAAGCAGTGTGATAATACTCTTTCAACTTTTCTGCGACTTTACGGAAAGAGGACAGGGCCATCCAGCATGTTTGCTCTACACAGGACCCTGACAATCCATGGCATTTGCAAACTTTAACCAATTTCTGTCTCACAACCTAAAGCAAGCGAGAAAAATGTCCCAGGTTTAGGTGAAAAGTTAAGGCTGCGCTCTGCTTCGACAAACAACAGACAGTGACCATTCCAAACCATGTAGCGTCCTCCTTGTGGAAAGATGATCTCTGTAACGCATCCTCTAAATTATTTGTTTTGGTCGTCTAATTACTAAGTTCTTTAATTAGTTGTCCATTCTCTAACAAAAATGATTATGTAGCAATGTAAAGTCGTGTTTAACTCCACGTGGATATAGATGCGGGCAATAGGTACTTGATCCACAAAAATGAAATGGAGAATTTTTAGCAAACGTGTGAATTTCGTTTGAGCCCGCTTAAGGTTCTTATACCACACCTCCCTCCTCAGTCAGCTAACTAGCACAGTCGTTAAGACCCCCTTTTTAAAGGGGGTTCTCTCACAAAATTACTTTAATATTCGTCGTCCCGCTTTTGGGGGTGGGATGGGGTGGGGCCTAATGTACTGTATTTACGGGTATTATTCTCAATGAAGACTAAACTATCAGATAGCTATAATAGCCACGAAAGTATCATTCAGAGCTACATGCTCAAAGTCGTTATGCTGTTTGGTTGTATTCGAACTGAGAAGAATAGAGTAAAGGTCGGAACACGTTGGAAATACAGGTCTCTCCTAAATAGCGCTTCATGTTTACTACTTTCAGAAGGAGTAAATGCAACTCACTTTAGTGATTAAGTTGGCATCGATATCTCTCGGTTTAGATTAATTTTTTTTCTTATATTCTTTTGTATGCGAGAGCAAAACGGAAAGATCTTATTCAAGTTAAACCCACCTTTCCCTTTTAAGCCGAAAACTAAAAATTAGCCAAAGATTAACAGAAGAATTGTACAGTTCTTTCAATAAAAATATCTCTAAAACGACTCCCAATTTAGAGGAAGCAATGTGTAAACAAAGGCGCACACGAAGGTGAACCTCAAAATCAAATACCATTGAAAGAGTTTCTTTATAGCTTTTAATACTCAGCGCCACGGTTTGACGAATTATGAGGCTCTCGTAAACTGCGATTTAGCGAATGAGACGGTGTGACTAAAATGCCCTGAGTCGATTTTAAAACGTATTTTATAAACGACATTGCACTGAGAATCATTTTAAACCAAGAAATTCCCAAAAGATAATAGCCAAAAGCAACTAAGTTAAGGAAAACGTCTTTTTGTGGAAACATTTCGCTTAGTGCTCCTTAATATGTAGGAATAAAAAAAATTGTTGATTTTATGCGCGTAGCAACATTTCCTGAGATCCTGTTTCTACAGTTAATGACCGCCATCAATGTTCCTTTCAGTCACTTTATGATACAGCCAACTGGATAGTAAAATTATATTTGTTCCACCGCGGAAGTATCTGCAGTCTTCACGGCCTTTTTTTTCTTCAAGAAAGAGGAAGAAGACGATTCTTTCCGTTTCTTAAAATAATCTCAGGAATATCGGTCTCAATTTTAGGCGTGGGAAACTAAATTTCTTTTATTCCAAAAATAAATTTTTCGACATATTAAAAAAATTGTTATCAACATAAAAGATGCTCTGTCAATGTTTGTTTTCAGGGTTCCCAGCTGTTAGAGATTCCGCCGTTAATATTAATCTCTGCAGGCGGGCTAAGAGAACTCACTTTGTTTTAATTACTAAAATTCAACTAAACAATGCTTTCTTTTCGAACCATGCCTAGTGGTTTTCGGATCCACAAAAGTTAACATTGCACCACCATGGGAAAGCGCTTTTAGTTACAAGTATCACTTTAAGTGTAGTTTGCTTTCCCAAATTCTCGAATTCATTTCTAAATATGATAGATTTAAAATTTCCTATGCCCTTTACAATTGGTGAGCGTAACTGAAACTGTCTAAGCGAAAGCACAGTTTCGTTCGATCGCTGATGTACTGCATACCTTCGCAGAGCTTCACGTATCAAGCATTCTCTTCACAGTATGATTTCGCTCATTTCTGAGTTAGGCAATGAATTCCAGCGCATGTTTGAAAAACTATTGCTTTCATCCAAACGTTGACTTTATTCAGAGGGCATTGTATGCACATTACGTAAGTTGGCAAAAATGTTGGAAGGGAATGAACAGTCATTAGACCATAGCCACTTTTATATATTGCATATTCCGGTTAAACTAACTCAAGCTGGTATTTCATGGTCAACTTAGTTAAAGGACGGATTACTGTAAAATATAAAGCTAACAGCCAGTAGTTGAGCGAGGTGGTGGTATGGCATAAGGAGTTTTAAATATTAGCATTAAATATTTGCAAGCAAAACTTATCTCATAAGGAAAATTTTGACCAAATCACACTTTCCGTTAGAGATAAGAAAAATTTAGCGTAACCCTTCTTCTCTTTCGAGTTTATCGGTTTCCTTGTTAACACGGGTCATTTCATCTGGACAGAGTCCTTTATTACATATTGTATGACTCTCTCAGTTCTCAATCATGAGGCAGATTAAAAGATACTAAGCCATTCCCAGAGAGAGAGTCACAACACGATTAAATAAACTATACACAAGTCCAAAAATAAGAATATGTCTCACTCTTCAGATTGCTTTTTTTTGTCTGCTGTAGTCAAAGGGAAACAAAGATAAAAAAATTCGAGTTCCGTCATTTTTTGTTATTGATCATTTTAAGCGAGGTCAAATATTTCGAAGTCGAACTTTACAAATCATAAATCATTTTAGCACTTTTTTTAATATTAGGGAGCATGCATTATTTTTCTTGAGGATATGAACATTTTGAGCGTAGAGTTTTAATTTCCTACGACGTGGTTTTGCGGTTACTTTTTAATAAGTTTGAATGTCTTCCTCAGTAAACATTCAATATTGTTTATTATACAATTGTCGTTGCCCAATTAGTTATTTTACTTTCGATTTAAGTTTCTGAAGAATCTTGCCAAATTGTGTTGAAAAATCGACGAATTTTGTACACGTGTTCAAATTGGAGCGTAATAATCCAATATATAATTATCTTGGATCAAGGTTGAAAGTTCCTGCAATATGAACCCTTTTCATATGCAAATTTCACGGCTACAAGCTTCTTCGTGTGACCAAGACAATTCAGGCCAATCCGAAATTGTTTAGCCGTCATTATCATTAACTAATTAGAAAAGCAATTATCTAATTAAATCTCCTACCTGCCTACCAGCCCTGCTGTTATGCCTGTTCATCAGCCAAAAGGCATTGTGTTTCTCCTCGCGAGCATTCACGAAGCGACTGGAAAGATCGAGACCGAAGCTCAAGTCGACAGAACAACCACCCCACGACCAACCTTTGTAGTGCTTTTTTTTCTCCGTACCCGTGAGTTTCTTGTCACAATTGCATTCGCTGAGGTTTCCCATACTACAGGCTCGGGTGACTGTGTACACAACTCCAGCCGAAATGATAGCTTGCGTGTAAGCCATCTCTCTAGTTCCCTCTACAAGTGGGAGAGACAACGTTTGAACGGACATCTTTGCATAATTAGTCACCTTTAGTTCACTAACGTAAAATGAACACAACTTTTAGCATCAGTCTTTCAACTGATATTTTCACGTATGTTCAAGAGTTTCAGACTGAAGCAAATCCTTCGGCAAAGATTTATTCCATGCATATATAATTGTTTTCATAGAACAAAGTTTTGGGCATTTCCTTTAAAAGACTAGCCTTCTTTTCCAAGTTAATCGATGCAAAAATGAAATACTTGAGTAACCCTAAAAATCCCAGTGATGCAGTTTTTTGTCAGCTAAATACTCATATCTACTATCATCATTAGATCTTGGTCGAAACATGTAATATATTTTAGAGGAAACCAAAAATATCCAGTTTTATCGAATTATCAACAACAAGTGATTTCCACTTATTAAAAAAGGACTAAAATAATCGACATTGGTGAGAACCTTATAAATTTGAAATGAGGATGCTTAAAATAGCTTTTTAAATATAATTTTTTTTAATTTCATTTCACATGATCGATGGCTGAAAATATTAGTATCAGTCTCTGGATGATTTCTAGAAGACGACGGGTCTAGTTACAATCATCTTTACTCCTTCACTACAAAATCGCTCAGGAGGATTGAAAGCATAACATAACATTGCTCTTGCAGCTTCTGCAAGCATAACTTATTGGGACACTAGTTCTAGAAGGAATGCAGGCTGTATATTTACTCCTCGAGAGCGAAACACATCCTTTGATATGAACAGATGTCTCAAAAAGCTGCGCATGAAAGTATCATACCACGTAGCCCGTTCTTATACGTAATACGCAGAACTGGGACAATTAAACATTTAAATGTCCAACTTCACTTTAAATTTAAACACATTCAAACTCGTTAAAAATTGCCTTACAGAAACAATCAAAAATTTCATATTGGTTTGTTTTACAATATCGATCGGTCAGTAGAAAATTATAGGCAGCACCAAAAGTGCTAGCTTTTGTGTCGGGAAGCTGAAAGTTTGGACAAATGAAAATACTGTCGCCGTATACCGGAAACACTTCAAGACACTTAAACATAAGTGGATTCATAAGAGGACTCTCAGCTAAATAGTGAGCCATTTACTTCAAACAAACAAACAAACACTTTGTAACAGTTCAACTAAAGTGGACTGACAAAGAAAGGCAATAGTTAATTGCATGATATATATTCGAGAGGCCTGTAGTGTCTCATAAGAAAGCCGACATTTAAGACAATCTTAGAGGATGTTAATCCCACTTACTAATGGCTTTGTCGTCGAAATCCGATGTTTCGCCGAGTAGAGTACAATTCCATCTGCTTTTTCGGAACTGGAACCTGCATTCCTCTGCAGCCATTCGATAACCCTCTCTTATGCAATAAATGACTTTTGGGTTTTCGTCGCACACATTTCTTTGCCTATTAGACAAGCCTGGAATGCGAGTACAGATAAGGCTTGGGACAAGAGTTGCGACAGAGGACACAAACCTGCCAAAGACATGACATAGAAAGTTTGAATTAAATACGATTGTCTTTGTAAAGTACAAGAACACAGGAATGAATTCTCACTCACAAAAGCTTGGAGTTGGCTTGCATGTACGCGAATACTGTGGCAACTAGTAAGGTGAAAAGAGCTATCCCGTGTTGGCTCTCCATTTTAAACGGTTCAAGTTCGTTCTTTTTATCTAGCGGGTGACAGAAGTTCACGAATATAAATCCTGTCATCATTGAAATGTTTGTTTGATCTTTCTCCTGATTGGGCCGACCGGAATTAATCAAAATTTTTAATTTACTTTGTGGACTAAACAATTGGGCGGAATGTGTGGCCTTAAATATTGTTTCTCATCCAAGCAGGAACACTTTTATTGATGAGTGTTGAAGTTTCCAATTTGAAGCATTCATTTTTTTTCAGCGGCTTAACTCAAATATTTTGATTTAAAAACCGACAAGAACGCTTAACGAAGCAAGCGACTCTTTTTTTTTTGGAATAGCTCTAACGGGGCTGACTTACTTTTATTAAAAAGCTAATGATAAGAGCATAAAGACTTAATTGAAGATCATAGACGTGGCCAAATTTTATTAAACAGTGATTTTGCATGCATTTGAGGCATTTGAGAGGTATTCCGAAAACAAACATCCAGCTCATTATTGATAAATTGAATTGAAGGTTTCTCTTTGATGTGCCGCCCATTTTGCAATGGCGGACTAACCCTTTCAGAAGGTTTTCACTCAGCTATACCACAATTGCACGGCAACCTCCGTTATTTCGACTCGTGTTATATTAACCGCGCCTCATCCAGCGGAAGCGGTAAAACTAACGGTTTTGCGTTTTTTCATAAGCAGCGCCTCGCGAACTCTATTTCTTATCGAAGGGTAGTCTTTATTTCATCCGGTTTCTTCTTTATTAACGAAAGTTTCATTCTGACAGAAGAGGCTGCACAATAAATCTATAATTATGTCAACTTGACAATACTTTTAGAAAGAGAAACCACGCGCCAAACTCATCAACCAATCCTTATCACAATCTTAACTTTTGTTGAGTTATCAGGGAACTTCGGCGGCTCAGTCATTTATACAATACTTGCCTCGTTCTCTTCTTGTCAAAAAATATCTAAGCTCAAATAATAATTAATCTAAAATTCTAGATTTATGCTTGTTGAAGTAACAAGTAAATTTTTCTTGATAACGGAAATTGATAGCCAACTCGGACACCGCCGAAGGACGTCAACGATCCATACGTAGCCGGTAAGAAATTGCTAATAGTTAATTTCGTCAGTTCGTGCGAGATAAATAAAGCAACAATTCAAGTAACTCTATGGGCATAGATACTTCATTTTTCCTTCGGAAAATATTTGGGGTAAGAATGTTGGAAAAACTTTCCACGAGCTTTTTACTGGGTGTATTCGAGATACGGCTTTCATTTTTCATTCAGTAAACTTCGTCTTCCTCTCCATACAGCTATTAAGCTTACCGGGGAAAAAGATGATGTAATTGAGAAAAGATTTTTCATTAAAAGGAATTTTTCCTCAGATGTATAGTCTCAGATCGTCCTTTTGAAATCTTTGAAAGTTTTAGCCATATTGGGAGAGCTATTCAGTTTGTACACCCATTCAGACAAGCCTGTTGATATTTCGCATATTCACTCATAAATCTTCTTTTCTGCGTAAGGGTGTTATGTTTGACAGATCATCAGAGCATATAGAGTGCTTTGAAAATGTCTTATTAAATTTACTGATTAGATTAAAAGAGCAGAAAGCACGAACTACTCCACATTTCAATATCCACAATGTTCCGCTCCATGGACCAATTTGATTGCATCTTGTTCAAACACCCAATCATCAATCGTTTGTAATTCAGACATGCTCTGATGTTTCTACTGCCTTCGTTTGACCACCTTACAAAAGAGATTGTGCGCAGATAAAGAGACAGAATATATCCCATCTCGTAAAAAAAAAGTTCCTTAGTTTCTGATCAAACTAGTTATTTAAAGTCATTGCCTTAAAAGACAAGATTTCGATCAAATCATCTATCAATAGAAGGTTAACAGGCAATTTGTGGACTGTGTTTATTTAATTAATTTCAATCTAACTATCTCTTTGATACCTGCAAACACTTTGCTGAATGCCGACTTTGAAATTAGAATGACAATATTTCCTTAACTTTATCAATATCACGATTACAATGTCACATTAGTATTCTTGCTTTAAAAAGGGCTGCTTGAGGTAAACCTTTGAAAAGCAGAACAGAAAATTCCATGTTCATTAAAATTTAAGGAACAATACACATTCTAAATTTCAGATGAAAGGTTGTTGTTCAACGTGAATCACAATATCAACGGCCCTTTCCGTCTTCTGAAAATAAGTAACATGATTGATAATTCTATGTACATTTATTCAATTATTATCAAATTCTTTTGATCCCAAAAGGTACAAAAAGGAACACAGACAAAAAAAATCCAATGACTTACTAAAATTGGTTACATAAGCCGAATATACCACAATGTACTTTGTTTCAGCTAGGAATTAATTTCCATTGTGGTTTTACATTCACAGATGATTGCAAAGTCACTTCAAATGACAGATTTACATTCGATCAAGTGACATCCCTCGAGGAGCCGCCGAGCACGTACTTGTTGCTATGTTTAGCTCGGCCCTCCCACCACTTATTTTTCCATATTATCGGCGTAGTCTTTCCTCTGTCATAACACGTGTGAAAGAAAAACATTGACGAGTCACAAAACGGTAGAAAAATCGCGATCTTTTCATGCAAGAAGATGGATAAAACTTCACGGAATCCAGAGTTCTCCTGTCTCGTTCTTCTTTGCCGATCACTCGTAAAGCTTGAAAAATAAATGGAAAATTTTGAACCATAGACCCCTTTCGAATTGCAGATGGGTCTTTCGTTCGTGCGGTACCAGCAAGGATTAAATCGGCAAACTACTCATGGAAAACCTTTTTTGGCCTTGTAACAAAGAAAATTGGCCGAGAAACCGGCAAGTTAAGAAAAATCAATAAATATCCACTTAACCTTAAAACCACATACAGAAAGCCGAAAAGAAATCATAAAGAAGATGATTGCAAACACAGTCAACCGCTATGAAATTAGCCCTTCAAGATGCGGCCAATTGCAATTGGGCACAATTGGCCATCTGTAAAAATTCACTGAACTGGCTGGGGAAGCAAAGAAAAGCCGAAAGGAATTGAAGAATCCCCTGCCAGCCACTGATCACTTAAATAATTGAGGCCGAAACATACTCTAAAGGAAATAACAGGGTTTAAAAACTTTGGACGAAGGAATCTTAGTGAATTTCATTTTCAATTGAAAACAATGCCTTATAAAGATAAATTTCTCATCAGATTATAATAGAATCAATGGGAAAAAACCGTTTAATATTTTAGCTCTTTTGAATCAATTTTCGTCTTAGGAGATATAGGGGTATTTTGTAAAATTGGTGAAGTATTAAATCGAAGTTTTTGGACAACGTTTGGGAAACCGTAGACTCACTCTAAATGGAGTATCCACATTCTCTAGTAAACTGCAAAACAGCGGATTCTTTCGCGGTGTATGCAGACCCACATTTTGTAAAATTTTCATTAGTGACTTCATTTTGATACATTTGATACAATAGATGAATGATGATAGTTGTAATATTCAAGAGAGGACTCCTCTTAGTCTGTGTTATGTTTGTGCTTTAATTCGTCCAGTGATTCAATCGACACCTTTTTGGATGGAAACATTTTTAGATGTGCATTTTTTATTTTTCATTTTCTAAAAATGTGTTAGAATTACTCCTCATTATTCTGGAGGGTTGAAAATGCATAGAGTTTTGGAAGCCTGCAGTGAGTGCAGCACTCATCAAGAAATCGCACTTTTTTTTGGCAGTTATGTTGAATCAATCATTCAAAACACTTAAGTGATAGTAAATCCTACAGCTTATCACTCTTCCGTAACTGATCCTACTGTTAAATGTTACAATTAATCGTAGTCAACCATCCTCAAAAAGGCTATTTTTACAAAAGCATGCAGGAGTTCTTTAACTATAAAACGGTTTCCAAACATAACCCAAAGTTTCCGTAAAATAAGAATTTGCTTCATAGCGTTTCAGAAGCTCGTTGCCCTGAGGGAGCCAGCTTTATGACAATTTAGGACTGCCGAGACTATTTTAGAAACTCATTTGCTTAAGAGAAGTGGAAATTTAAGCCGCGATTAACTTCCGACCCTAGAGCAGCATACTTTGGCTATTAATAAACCATATATTGCCTCGATGCCTCCATACAAAAATTTAATCTTCGTTGTGACATTCATTCATCAATATTATTAACAATTCAATTTAAAGATAGATTTTTATATCAATGAGGCTGTCGTAAACGCTAAAGCCCTCCTTTTAAATAAATTTTTATCCTACATGAGTAGTTTTACTCGGCCCAAACTTAAGACCTTTTTCCTTAAAAGGAGTATGAACGTTGTTGAGTTTGTAAATAGAATTTACTCAGGTTAGGCTTACAATTGCACAGGGGAGGTTATGTTTGGATCCTTGGACTTTCAAAAAAAGGCGACCAATATGGCTCTTAAACAGAAAAGTATTTTCATCAGTTCCCCTATTTTCAACGCCTGCGAGATGCTACGTCCATCAAAATTGAAAGAGGAGTACCTCCATATTTCAAAACTTTGCTTAAATTCATTTGTTTCTCTTTTGAAAAATTTTCTGAATGAGCTTGGCGGCAACATAACAAAGGATGCCATCATCCTGAAACGAAGTCATTTGGAAAAAAAGTTATCGAAGACTGTATTACGAGGCCATGCTGTGTACGAACTAAAGATTCCTCTATGATGGTTCATTTACCAATCAAAGTAGACTTGATTTGCCGCATTCGGTTAAAGATCAAAAGGCCGAAACAGCTTCCGTAATAACATTCAGTCTGCGGATTTGATACATCATCACAAACGCTTCACCTGTGATGTGGTTACCCGACATCCTTAAAATTGTTCGCACCGCTGACGGCACGAAGCACGCAACAGCTGACCAAACTGCCAGAAGGTCACGCAAAGCTGTTGAATAGTTATACAATTAATCTCTATTTCGTCCTCAGTATGCCCGATCATCTTCAGCTGACTTAAATCCAAGAATGAGAACAACACGACGTATTTTACTCAATTAGAGTTTTAAGGAATGGTTCTCTAAAGAACATTTCTTTTTGTATATACATGATGAGTTTTCTATAGGTCACCCTCTATCATCCTTTAATTGAAATTGGTATGCATGTATTTAATGAAAGTGTTACTTTACGATCTTTTAGAAAAGACTTAGAGAAGTCAAATATTGTCATATTTTTTGTCTCGCTTCAAGCTAACTATTACACTTGTTTGATCGGAACTTTTTTTGCAACTCCGCATCAATATGCACTGGTAAATTCCCATTCATAAAATCTTAGAAGGAACGTGTCTTTTTCCGTGATTCTACATCAAATTTATTCGCAGGTCGTAAACTCTATTAAAGGGAACCAACAGATTGTTTCACTTAAAACTTGGTTTCGCTAAACAACAGGGTAAAGCTCGAAGGGGCACGGTGTACTATATCTCACGGTAGCAGCCACCGCCTCTGGTAGTCACTCATTTATGCCAGCGACACCGATTACTTTCAAGAGGTGAGGCAACTAAGAACCTCAAGCACGAAAATGAGATTTTCTGTCTAAGAATCACAAGCTCTTCAATCCTATTATCTTTGCGTCAACACATCGTTAACCTTTTCACGGATCAACCGAATAATTAAAAAAAAGGTTTCCGAACACCCTGGAAGGGCTTTCAATAAGTCAGACAGCGATATTCGATCAATTAAGAAAAGAAAATGCCCCACTTCCAGTATCAAAACAGGACTGCCTTACCTTCAGTATAGTTTTAGCAGTGTTTAACCATATGCTCAGGGCGAGGTATGGGCCTTTTTCTGATAAATTCTTCTTGTTACAGCCAATGCTGTATAATTAGAAATGTTCTTGACAAAGAATCGCACGTTACTTTTAAATGCCGCTTAATGAGTTTCAATACCACAAAATTCAATCCCGCCACACGTACAACGGAACTCATATTAGACGTAAGCAGCTCAAAAGCTTCCTTGTTTCAACTATCCGCATCATTTCAATCAAAGATATTCAATTTAGTACTGTAGTTAAAGCGGAGCTTCTACGCGCGTTAGCGGAGCCGTTCCCCTAGGAATTGCTATTTCGGTAACGTAGGCATTATGTGCGTGCATAACAAGCCCTTCTAAACAAAATGTCGGATGCATGATAAACTACATTGCAAGCTTAAAGCGGGCGGAATACTTCGTTTGGACGATTATATATGCAATAGGCAGGGAAAGTGAAACGAAATGAAGGGTAACTGGTGCCAACATTAAACGCGTTGCACTATATCAAACTTATTTCCCATAAGCGCGAACATTTGCCCTCATTGGCGTCCAGGCTGGCACGGACAACGTTTTCCCTACGGTGCTTGCGCATTAGAGTATCAAACGCATTGGTGACAATTTATATTTGTAACCATGGCGGCTGTAAGGGAAAGGAGAGTCCCAAAACAATACTCCGACGAGGTCTTTCCAACGGGGCTTTTATTCAGAAAGAAGACAAGAACAAAAACCAACGACCGTAAACTTTATCCTGTCGTTGTGACCGCCGTAAACAAAATCACAAAGCGAGTGAAATTCACTAAGTTGGCCGGAATCTTTGGAATCTTTTAAGTGATACTTGCAGGTTCTCTCTGTGTCGTCAAGCTTTTCCTCAAACTTCTGTCGCTTGGTATTTCATTCTTCAAAGATTCTTCTAGCGCTCGTTTTTCTCCTCAAATCTTTATTTTCCTTTTCAATAAAGTAATTATCAAGCTCTTGATAAAATAACTTGACAGAATAAGTTTGGTAGCGCCATTTGTCAGTGAGCCTCTTGATACCGAAACCTCCACTTTTCTTTTTTGTTCGCTTTAGCTCAGCACACACGGTCCCGATCTTTTTCCTTAGGACAGTTGTTATTCGATTGTTAAGGATGATGCCTCTAATACCCATTTGTTACATGATTTTCTCCACAACTGCAGCGAGGGTAAATTCACTACTTCCCTCTCCATTCTCCTTAATTAGCAATTGTGTGGAGAAGATGGCTGAAAAATTGATAGACACAACCGGCATCAGACTTATTCGAGACTTACTAGCAACAAAATTTATATGAAATTCCGTACCTCTGAGAACAAAAGGAAAAAATAAAATCGATTTGTTTATTTATGAAACTACTTACTTGTCAACACTGCATGTGAACGAAGGTAACGGATGCCCCTATGATCCTTCTCCCTCGGCTTATACGGATCTGCAGAAGACCTGAAGTAAAACCAGTGAGAGTGCTCCAACTTGAGCGGCCATTTGACCTATCTAAATCGGTCGCAAACTAGACGAATTATATACCTAATGGAGGAAATTTCTCGCTCCATTCGAATGTGGCGGTAAAAGATTGGAACATGCGCAAAAGAGCTAGAACCCATTCTCACGCGCTAACCGTTATACGACACTTTGAACGCCTTCGAAAATTGCCTAGTCGTAATTTTAAAAAGTGAATTTTGACCCATTAAATCCTAAAGCTTTAGCATTTCAAACTTCTAAAGTAGCTTTTAAATTCGTCTTTTAAACTTTTTTGGTAAAATTAATCACTATTAAAATGTCTCCTGGCAATCGAGTCAAAGGTTCCAAATTTTGTGTGTTCTTGAGTCACACAATGGTAGGGGCGTGGCCGCTGAGACTTGATATAGGCTTTTGTTGACACTGAGTTTGACATGCCAAGGTGCATTGTGTTGTGTGTGATCAAGTGTGTTTGGCCGGCCAAACTGGAAAATGTTCGTTGAATCTTCCGTTTCTATATATTCAGAGACCAGATACGAAACATATTTAGAGAGTAAATACCAGTACTTGATAAGTGAAGTTAAGTTTCTGTCGTTACTTTATATTAGATATTGCACTATGTAATTAGACCGCATCAAAGACGCTTAACCTGAGTGGATTTTAACGGTTCTATCAAATGTGGTAATGAAAAAAAAGCAAAATTTTGACCAGAGATTACTGGAAAGGAGAAAAAGCTAGCTTAGGTTTGGTGCGCGTTGTAAAAATTAGCATAACTCTTTATGTTTACTATCTCTGTATCCATTACCATCCTTCCTCCTTTTAGCTTTAACTAAAACATTAATAGAAACATTAATAGAAACATTTCTTTCAGGGCCCAAGTCAATATTCTTTGTTACCGAAAAAGACAAAATTATCATTTTGTTTGTTCAACTTTCTCTTCTTCTTCCATAATAAGAAACATTAATAGAAACATTTCTCTCCGGGTTAAGTCAATATTCTTTGTTACCGGAAAAGACAAAAATTATCATTTTGTTTGTTCAACTTTCTCTTTTCTCTTTGCCTTTTTGTCAATGCTTCTCCTTTTGTAAATTTGACTTATGCTTTGAAATGAAAGTTAAAAAGATACAACTGAGTAAATTCCTTCTATTTTATTTCATATCAGTTAACGTGGAATAAAGTTTCAATTTACTTTGGAAATCGTACAATGTGGTACTACATTTTTGTCCTAAAACACAAAAACAAAATCTTGAAATATAACTCGAGAGGTCTTTGGTGATCTTGAAGCCTTTCAGTTCTTTAGCTCATTTTCCAGAACAACCGCTAATGCAATCTTGCCATTGCTGTGTGCACTCGCGGCAATCGACTTGGTCATCTACACATGCATCCTCACACAGGTCGTAATCTTGCTCACACACATCACAGGAAGAAGAAGGAAGAGCAGATGACGGAAGGGCAGCAACCAGAATAAGGACAAACACTATCGCATACTTCATCTAAAAATAAAAGAGCAACAGAAGGAAATGGTCAGTATTCACATGGGTTAATTCTCAGAAAGGCAGACAAGTTACTCAACGCGAGTTTTGATTACCCTGCGTAACAATCATTTCAGTTTCCTTTTAGAAATTAAATAGGCGTGGAGAGAGAAGACTCTTGTTTTTTCCTTTGTTCGGACCTCAGGTAGAACTTCTCGAGACAAGCAGGATATATTACGAAAGGAGCAACTTGATACTTCACGCCCCATTCCTTGCTGTGACTTCTCCTGAGTGCTAAGTAGCCTGAATCACTTTTTGTCTCTCAGAAAAAGACTATTGGACTGCAAGCAATCTTGTCAATACTCGCATTTTGAGGGAGCCTCGGGAGAGAAGGGATTGGCGCGAAAAGAGACTAGGACAACACAAAAACTACAAAGAGTGTGTCCTTACCCAGTGTCTACCGTTTCAACGTCAATTATGTGAGTACCTCACTTCTCCCTCTTAGAAAAAAGGCTGCTAGCAGTTTAAAGCGAGAGTTATGAGCTTCTTCAAGGCAAGCGTTGCGAACATAATACTTTGTCCGTGACACAATAAGTTTTCTTCGGGTTATAGGATAAAGCGATTCGTTGTTTTTGAAAGAAATATACAGTAAACGAAGGTTTTAAGCTTAATTTAGGAAGCAATTATTACTTTGTAGTTGCTATTTGTCATTCGCTTAGGGGCAGGTCCGACGGTTCTTGATCGTGAATTCACAAAGATGTGTTTGGACAAGAGATTTGTAATCTCTTAGTTTTGAATAGCTGCAGCGATAACGTTTGATACTTGTAATAAAATGGTATAGATATCTTTCTGTAAAATTTAAGCATAAAAGGAAAAACTCCTTGTAAAAAATTTTGATAAAAAGTCACAAGTAAGTTTCTTCTTATGCCATCTCATGTTTGATTAGTACCTTGGCCTTTCTTTACATTGATTACCATCACCATAGCAGCGTTAAAGTGAGCTTTGGATAAAATGGTCTTTCCTATGTTCAGTTACCGCCCTAATTTTCTGCCTTTTTCAGTGCCGCGGCTGTTTCTTAAGACTTCTCTTCCTCTGTATTGTCATTATTGATTGGGAAATATTCCGAGAAATCAATGTCAGCTATATTAAAATTTACGCGTTTACGATCTGCTTACGCTGCTTCTAACAACAAATGAACTTCTATCCTTTTCAACTTAATTCTAGACTGGAAAAAAAAAGTTGAGGTCAAGTTTACATGCTAGTTAACTCGCTCTCCTTGCCGGAACTTTCGCCATTTTCTGTAGCCATTAGCAACGGGGAGAAATGCTACTCCTTCTGAAAGAAGAACTTATTCATAATAGGCTGGAACTCATTTTCTACCTCCGAGTGGAGAAGGACACATGTTGCCTAAGAACACTACAAAACACGACCTAACCATCAGGTCATTGCGTTTTCCGAAAAAAACGAGAAACCATCCCCCTCCCCCTTCCAATACAGTATTTGATTGGGTCACATTGTCATCTGAACATTTTCATGTCAACAAGCCAGTGACAGAATATTTATACAAATAAGGAAAAGGATGAAGAAAGACTGATATCACAATAACTTTTAATTTTTTATACTTTTATGGCAAAACTTGTTAAGATTTTCAATATTTTCATCGCTTTATCTCCTTTTTAACATTTTTTCAAGAGAAGCATATCAATAGGTCAGAAAACAGAAAATCTGTGAATGGCGACTTTTTCCGATATTTTTCTAAAAAAAAAAACAAAACAAAAATAATACGATAAAAACGAAAACATTTGAGCGTTCTTCAAATTGGTTTGACGCCTTCGAAAATTACTTTTATCGTTCATTACCAATTTGACTTGATAACTACATTTCAATCATACCGATTTTTTTCAGCTTTGAATCTTTACACTTTTTTTTAACAAATCAAAAGAGAAGCAGCAAATAAAAACGTCAATTTAACTTTGACTTTCTGTACCTGTAAAGATTTGGCACAGGATATGAACTGATTTCGTTTTAAGTAGGTGGGTCGGTCGACTAAATTCCGGTAAAAAAATAAGATATTCTGCAGGAATCCTTCTTCCAACTTACCTTCTATCTTTTCTTATGAAATTATTCCCTTCGTGCAGCACCCCTTTCCGAAGCTAAATGTCCCTTTCGTAAGTATACAGTGATCTTTTTTACTCTCTTCGTCATTGCTAATATATTTATACGTGTTCAGCCGGAAAAGAGAGAATAGAATGCTCATTAAGTTTAACAAATCAGCGGATATCATTGACAGTCATTTCCACAACGATGAATTTATTTTGCTCCTAAGTGATAGTTTATTCTAGTTCTCTTATTATTGCGAAATAAAATGCTAAATACATTGACACAGTTAACAGGAGCTTTTAGTCTTCGTTAAGCTTCCCATTAAAACTCAATCAAAGCTTAGCACTCTCATTCAATCTCCATTTTAATCAAAGGCTTTTTACGCACACTGATCTTCTGAGAGCCAATTATCACCTAGATGAACAATGCTACTCTATCTATTTTCCATCTTACAACAGTAGTCATCGTAAACAAGATGAAACGATATAAAACCTTAACAAAAGCACTTGAATAAGTAGACATTTCTATTGTACTACAAGAGCTAAGAGATAGTCATCGTAAACTAAATCAGAACTGCAATCATCCTACCCCGAGGTAGTCTTCGTCGTAGACTTCCGCCAAGGTGGTCAACCATGATTATTATCATTTTGAAGTATTTTCTGAACACTGTTTGCTTTTAGTTAAAATCGACTCTGACCAAATGCCCGAAATCAAACTGCTTAATCGAGCTCGTTAAGCACTTGTCAAACCTCACATCAATTCTTTCCAGCTGTGATGACTGTAGACTGTACACATTCGATAATTGCGAGTAAGAATCCATTTTAAGACGTTTGAAACATTTGAGATCAACTGTATCAAAATCGGAATGAGACTTAAAAGTGTTCAGTAATGTTTGTCGCATATATATATATATATTGTTAGACGTTTTGGTGTGTAGTATCGCTGAGTATTTTTACGAGTTGGGTCGTATTTTGTCGAGCCCTACAGGCTCGTCAAAATGCGGCACGTACGCAATTCAGATCACGAATATTTTGGAACTTGCGCGAAAAATTTACAAAATCCCTAAAGATATTTCAGTGTAGGGAAAATATTTTTTTAATCCAACGTCATTTTCATTATTAGACTCAAATCGAACTCAAAAACAAATCAGGTTGTTACTCACCATTCTTCACCTTTGAAAATTTTTCGCCGCCATATTACCTGTCGGAAAGAAAGAATTGAGGATATAGTTACTAATACAAAGAATGACACGTCTCTCGTCCCACTCACCCTTAATCTGACGTATCTAGACATCAAAACTAATTTGTTTAATTGTTAAGTTGTGTTCTTGATAACATCCAGTCTGCGTCAAAGTATCCGCTCACGTTTTTGAGCAAAATGGTTCAGAATCCTGAATTCAAGAAACGCAAAAGATGATGAATATTTTAGATATAGGCAAGAATTAAATTTCCAATGAATCAAATGTTCCTCTATTGATCTTGCGCTCTAATACATCTTAAAATGATCGCTTGCTAAAAAAGTTTGGCGCAGTACGAAAATCAGACAATAAAGTAGAAATTTTATTGTTTCATTATCATTATGACAACTATCAAATCCTAAATATCTTTTTTAAATCTCTTCTTTAACGATATCTAGATTGGACACTTTCACAATTAACATGGTAAAACATCAATCTTGGTGCAGGCAATCATATTTCGCAGATATTTTTTACGCGCTAAATCGGAAATTCAAATTTATGGACTTGGCGGAAATTGCTAGGTGTAACACCTAGATAAGAAATTCTACCCAAATATTTCATCAGTTTCCTTTGGCCACTATGGACAATGAGGACATCTCTTCCAGTAATTCAAATCGAATAGCTCGTTTGTTTTCCCTTACCGCAGAACAGTCACCTCTTCAGATTTGCATAAGAATAAAAATTGAAAATTTTGAGTTTAATTTCCTTTTAGCGTATTTTGAGTGGTGTGACTCGACAGTAATCATACACAGTCATTTGCAGACTGAAATCAATAATTTTTGTTTACAGTCATTAAACGAAAAGATAATTTTTTTTATCTGCACCGCGCATGATCTAGAAATAACTATTAACTTATTCTCAATGAATTTCATATCATTATAACTTTATGCTTTCATAAAAAAGTCACAGGGAGGGGTTAGGCAAACTAGCACCAAGATCAAGAAAGCTAAATATAAAATCGTGGGCGTCAAATTATCAGACTTAAAACAAATCGATTTGGAAGAGAATAGTTCTACCCTTGGCAAAATTGAAAATTACTTCTTCCTTGTAAAATAATACTCCATATCATATGAATAACTTTACTGCTGCTCTATCTTTTTTTTTAATCACGATTGTATCAATGCGCTACCAAAGACACAGCCTTAGGGGACGAATGGTTAACGACCTGGGGTGGGGTAGGGACTCGCAAGGTTTTCTTTTATCCATCAACCCACCCCTCCCCTGTCCCCTCCTTTAGGAGCCTGGCTGCGCAGGCTATGCTTTTCTGATAGGATTATTTATTCATGTTCAATATGTCTTCAGTAGTTGTGCAGGTCCATGAAAAGGCTCCTTTATGAGGCGGAAAGTACTAGGCTGTTAAAATGTATACTACCGTCATAGATTTTTTATATTTGTACGGTACCCCCGTTGAAAGCGGTTATGAAAATTATGACTGCTAATGAGGAGGAAGGGGGGTATAATAAAACAGAGCATTATGGGTATCAGTTAAATTTAACCGTCCTTAGAAGGATTTGAGGAGTTGTAAAATGTTTGTTTTGTTACTAAGGAGGAAGGAGGAAGGCCAAGAACTGGTTCAGACCCAACCCAGGCCTCCTCTCCTTTTCACTTGGCGTATCAAAATCCCTCCCGTTTACCAACTGAACAAGTTTAGCAGACTGGAGGAAATCAAAATTCCGTGTTCTTCTCGCCAAAGGGCCGAGATATAAGGAATTACTTTAAACGAGTGAATAATGTTCGCCAAAATGTTTGTCTGTAGTTTCTTTAACGTTTCATTCTAATTCCAAATCTCATGTTAACATATTTTACCGACAACACTTCACCATGGCAACCCTACATCTACTCAGGTGTTTGACGCGGTTTTTTTTTTTTTTATCATTGTCCTTAGTATGGGATCTTAAAATTTCTTGCGGAATATAAGAAGAAGGTTGCCAGTGACGACTTATGCTTCGGAATGTAATTTAAGAGGGCATAATTCTAATTTTTGATACGTTTTTATTTCTACCAGTTGACATGATCTATGGTTTCCATGTAGATCGGAAATCAGTCGCTGTGGCGCTAGATTTTATACAAAGACACAAAAACAAAATTTGACATTTATCTGGACGAGTCCTTGGTTGTCTTGAAGCCTCTTAGTACTTTCGCCAGCTCATTTTCCTGGACATAGTGTCTTACAATCATCCAATTTCGTCGCGCAGACGGAACAAGGAAGATAGTTCCTTGAGCACGCATCCTCACACAGGTCATTTTTCTGCTCACAATCATCTATACAGGAAAGGGCTGATGATGGCGTGACAGCAACCAGAAGAAGGACAAACACTATCGCATACTTCATCTGATGACAAAGAGAAAATAACGGACAAGGTTTTCATTAAAGAAAGAAGGATCATTTCAGAAAAGCAGAAAAAGTAACAGCGTAAATTCATGTTGATCAACCTGCAAACCAGTCTCTCCCGTTTCTTCTAGCAAATGGAAACGAAAGAACAGTGAACAAGATTGCGATCTTTATTCTGCTTCAAGAGGTGTCGGGGAAGCTTGATTTCAAGCAGATCAGCGTGAATCGCGCGATGATAAGGTACAAAGCAACTTTTTTACTTTCGCGTTATTGCTTCGCGCGACTCCTCGACTGTGCATTCCGACAACGAATGCACGGATTTTTGTTCGAGTTGGCGTGCTACAACGCAAACCATATACAATTCGCCTATCCGAACTTATATTTCAGCATGACTCAAAATGAATATAGTTTGAACCTGAAATATTGGCGGTATCAAAGTTACTAGAAAACAGTTAATAAAACTAGTTTAATCCAGGGCAAATACCCACTCAAATAGAAGGTATTCCGTATGGTTCTCTGAAATTTCTTACGGTTAGACGAAGAATGACGTTTGACAGCTCCTGCGTTTGACAATTTCTATGAATTTCGCCAGTTTGAAAACTGATCTCTTTGAAATTCTTTTGGTCCAAGCTTAGCTATCTCCTTCTTTCAACTATTATTTTGTTTGGAAGGGAAAAAATCAGTAACTACTCACGTAGCATTATGAGGGAAAAGGCATCATCTTTTGTACGGTTTGAAGAAATTTTAGGTGAGCAAATACAAACATTTCTCTTAGCTCTAAACGAGAGTTGTCTCCTTCTAAGTTGAAATCTTATCTATCTGTAGCGTTATATCTGATTCCTTTTACCTTCACTGCGGCACAACTGGTCAATCAGTTAATCTTGATTTCACGCTTTGAGAGAGATATTACCTCGGTGATTCCCAAACCTGAATGAGCCCATAAACGAACGAACCTTATATTAAGCTTTTCGCGGCAATTAACGAAGCACAGTGTAACAAGCGGAAACGCGCCCTAATCAGTGCATCAAAGACAGCCGCATTATCGAAAACATTACCTTGGACAGAAATATTTGCTCCTCTTATAGCTGTAAGATTAAGAAATTTTAACATTCTTTTTCAACAACCGAAAAAAGGAAGGAAACAATCAAATGAATTACAATTTTCCTTGGAGGATTAGGATGTTTTTCAGGAAATATATGGAATTTTAATAAAAAACTCATGGGTATTTTGCTATCTCTTAATTGTCTCGAGGGAGCAAATTGATCGTTAATCCGTGTTTACTTTTGTCTACCACTATTGGAAATCGAATCTTAATTCTTGCTTTTTCGTCTTTGAAACATGTCGCTTGGATGTAACAATTTTAATGAGAAGTTGTCATTTTTTTAAACGGACTGAAACAGGCAAGAACATACTTCTGCTCAAAACCTGATGTAGATAACCCAAAATTCTGTATTTGTCCGTTGAAATAAAACTGCAAAGCTGATGATTTTTTTCAGTCATCGACTGCACATTTCTAATTTCATGAGGTGATATGAAAATTTAATTCAGTGAAACTTGAACAGTTGAGAACTAATTGCATCTACTTTTTGATTGCTGCTTTAGTTATAGTCTTGTTTTGGTTTTGATTTTTCCCATGGCAGCCCTGTTCCGACACAACTCAAAATCTATCGTATAATTCTTTAAAACTTATTGAATGAAACAAGTAAAAGAGAGCAATAGTTTAGCTCGTTTTAAAGTAACACTGATAGTTTTATTATGAATATTAAATCTAATAAAAGGCCTATAAAAAACAGGACATAAATTGCCAGAGTTAGGGAAATTCTTCTTTAGACTTAAAAAAAGAGAACCTTTGCCAGGTTGTTTCATTTAAATTTGCTTTCTTGGTATTTGTTCCTGGCAGTAAGCAGTCGGAATCAACCGATCAATTAAACATAAATTATGTCTGTTGCAAATTTTGGTTTATTTGAGCTAAAAATAGCAAAAGTTAACAGAAAAGAAAAGGAAAAGGGTTATCTTTAATATTCTTGGAAGATGTCTTAAACTGTTTTGCAACAGGAAAAATGCAGGGTTTAGAATTGTGATAAAAATCGTTTAAAATTAGAATTGATGTACGGGTTGGTATCCTATCGATTTAGGAGATTCGTTCGAATAAATCTTCCTTAATTCTCGCAAAATTTTGAAGGGGAATTGTGTTTATCAAAGAGATTTATAAAGCGTGGGTTGAAGGAAATCATAATTGCAATTTCTTCTTATTAAATGAGACAATTTCGTGTTGTATTGTAAAAATTGCTATATCAATTTGAAAGCAACGATAAAAAACCTATTTATTTTATACCCGCCAAAGTCGCCAGTAATGGGTCTCTTGATTTCGAAATTAAGGAATATGACATTTTAGTAAAAATTTGCCAAAGTGAGGGAAAAAAATTTGACAGAATAGCAAAATATTGGAAATAATCAAATTTTGATACCTAAAATCATGTAGAGAAAGACTCCTTTTCTTTGCCAACGGAGAGACTTAAAAAATATATATTAAGTAACTTTTGGAGAGAAAAATGGAAATCAAACAGCTGGAGATCAAAGTGACATGGGCTTGTATTTATTCATATGCAATCCAGTGAAGAATAACACTATTAGTGAAAGATGGCTTTGGTTTTTGGGGCGAAAGGTGCATGATTCCAGCTCTTTCATGAAAAATAACTTGCCGGCCTCGAAACTGGAAACAGCGACTGGAACAAGGTGAAATTCTCAGAAAGATCAAGAACTCGATGAAAGTCACCAAACAAGCAAACTACTTTTCAAGCGAGCGTAATCAGTAAACTTAATCTCAAAGTATCACGCGAAAAGCCGTCCACTCTCGATGACAAATGAACATCTCTTCTCGAACGCCACAAGATTTTGCTCAGTTTTCTCCTCTAATTATAGATTTCTATTTCAAATAGGAGAGATTTTTCTTCTCATATAGTTTCTACAAGGGAATTTACCAGAACACCCCAAACTCGTCAGCACTACACCTAACACACACTTCTCCTGTCTCACTTCCAAACGGCTATTACGTATACGAAAGGATGAAAACTACCATAAGTAATATCAAAGCCTTTGATACCTCTAAAATGTATATCAATACTTTACTTTCCTCTGGTGGATTATACGCTGATCCGTATATATGCAGATTAAATAAAATCAGTCAGAATAACTGGGAATAATCCTACTTATATTGGAATAACAACAACTGCTGAAGTCGACGGCAAACTTGATTGTTCTCGTCGATAGAATGGAAAGTTACTCTGTGTCCTCTAAAGCAACAAAAGAAGTCACATAGCTTTGTTTGTATCAATTTAAGTACTGCATGTCATTACTCGTGGAATAAGGTGTCCCTTAACTGGGTGAAATTATTTGATAAAACACATAAATTTCCACGCTCTGGTGATCAACCTGATATATAAATGGAATTTCAGTTAGTGTCATCAACCGAGGTAATAACGTAATGTGGCCTCTAAAAAAAAAAACCAAAGCCGACGTTCAAACGTTAGCCTTTAGTCCGAAGGAAACGTCAGCCTCAGAATCTCTAAACGGTGGCCAACCACGTCATCAATTCTTGTAATATTTTCCATCGAGGTAGTACTACAGTCACAGTACTTCGTGTCGTCCAATTCTGTATGTAATCATACGTGTATGATTACAGACAGAATTGGACTCCCTCAGCCTTATTGCCATTAGTAATCAAAACTATAACAAAATTCTTGAACGCGATTGGCCATCACCAACACGATTTGAGCGCTAATAGGAGAGTGTATGCGTCATGCTTGTAATTGGACAGTGTATTAGGACAGTTGAAAGGATATTTACACGTCATGCCTGTGTAAGTGGACAGAACGCGTCATGTGCGCGCGCTGTTGTCTTGCATTTCGCCGAATTAACGGATTTTTTTTAATGAAAACGTGTAACCAATGTTTAGCTTCTTTCTCAAGTTTTGATTAATTTGATTTTGTCAATGAATAAAGGGGGTAAATTTCTAAAGAAACTGTCGTGCTGCGTCTGTGAGAGAGTATAGCAGGTAATTTAGTGCTAACAAATGAGTTGAAAACGTAACTTGGCCACCGTTAAGGGTGAAAAGGCTGACGTTTTGAGCGTTAGCCCTTCGTCAGAGCATTTGGAGGAATTGTGGGTTATGTGTAGGTTTATATGCAGAAAATAGAGCTTCGCTATTGGTGGGAATATGGTGACGAGAAAACAAGAATAAATTAGTTGAATGAAGAGCGCTCGTTGATACCGTGGGGATTCAGAGTGCCGATTTGGAAGATAAATTCTTGTTCTAGTGTTTTGCGGCTTTCCGAACTGCCCAGATGAGAGAAAAGACCGCAAACTGCCATATGTTGTTTAGAATGATTAGGGAGGTTTAAGTGTTTAGCGACTGGTTTGGATGCGTCCTTGCCATTTCTTTCTACTTCGCGAACGTGTTCTCGGAATCGGTCACTTAGTCGATTTTGTTAATCACGAATATGACTTCAGACAGAATTGGACGACACGAAGTCCTATTACCATTATTAACTCGGGCTGGTGATAACCAATAACTTACGAGACTAACTGTTACAGTTTTGATTATTAATGATTACCTAACTGTCAATTTTCTGTACGTTTGACTCAAATTGTGATTATACTCTTATACACTCTCCTCAACAATAGGAACCTACCAAAAGCTAGCCTTTTCCAGTTTCATTTTAGTTAGACATAGACCAAAGGTCAGTTACGTAATAGCTCTGAGTTTCATGCGTGATTAGGCACGTGATTAGATCTGACTTGTCTCACTTCCATTTCTAACGATAGCAGCGCACGTGAGACTGACGTAGCTGAAAACGACGCTATTATGTAATCATAATTCTCCGCCTTTGGGTATCAATGACGTGAGATATTTCATGTGATTCTCAGAGTATATTTAACACACTTAAGCAATAAGCTACTGAGTTTGTTTTCAGATCAGAGTCAAAATTTACAAAACAGTTGCGAACTTAAAAAAAAATATTCCCAACACCAGGTCTCGTGGCACGTGACACGAGACATGCTCGGCCTGTGGGACAACTCTATTACATAATTACAATTTTCTGCTTTCTTTAACGAGGTTACATGTAGTAAGGACTTAGTAAGCCAAAAAATCGTCAGTATGTAAATCAAAGGATACAGCCTTACAATCCTGAACTAAAGGTTTAAGTTCAGAAACCTTTGTTGCAAAAACAGAAAAAAGTTTGGAGTTTTTCTTGTAAGCCCCGGGGGACGGCCTTTCCAGGAACCAAACATGCACTGCTACCATGTCTTCGCTTTCTGCTGTAAACTTCAGCGTCGTATGTAGGTCTTCGCGAGTGTCGTGACACATTAACCGACGAGTTAGCCTGTAAGGCAAGGCTATAAATAGAGAAAACGGAAACAAAACCACCCAGAAAAGAAAGCCATTCACATACGTTAGAGAATGAAACGGCTTGCTATGATTTGTCAGCCAAAATGCCGTGTTATGCCAAGAAACATACTCCAGAGAATCCTTGTCTTGTAGGTTCGTGGGAGTTAACTCCTGTAAAATTCGCTTAATGTCAATCATGATGCAAAACTTTTTCCCTTTAAGAACTTTTCTCTTCATCGTTTTCAAGCTTTCATTGATTTTATCTCTTAGCACTTCCGGAGGAAAGATTACTGCGAAGTCGATGTCGAACCCATTTATGGAAGTTAGTTCTTTTTGTAGAAAGTTTTCCACAGAATCTGAGCTAGCCGTCTTCGTGGTACTCCCAAATTGGTGTCTTCTAGTGACGCACATCAATATTGGCTTCTCTAAAATGTTGCTTAAATCCTTCATGTTGGCCTCATTCTTTACAGAGATCATTTGCTTGTGCACGTTCACGATTTCGCTCACCTCACCCAATGGGCTAAAACTGTCGTTGCAAGACAAAACGG